AGATAAAAACAGACAGAGAGAGAGAAAGGGATTGAGAGAGAGAACAGCAGCAGCCAAAGGGAGACAACATGTCTAGAAGAAAAATTCTGCTTAATCGTTGGTAGGCAAAGCAAAAACAACAACGACAACAATTAAAAACAACAACAGCAGCAGCATCAACAAGAATAATAATAATAACAACAACAACAGCAACAGCAACAACAACAACAACAACAACATCAACAACAGTAGCTGCGGTGGGGTACCAAGAAATAGAAAACCTGTTAGGGAAACGTCTCATGTTTGCAACATACAGACTTCAACATAAATTAAGGACCACCTTGGCAGACAGCCCTGATTTTTTACAATTCCAAAAAAGGACAGCAAGTAATGTTTAAATATTTTTTTGTTCTGAAAGTGTTAATGGGTTACCAATGAGTACTGCAAAGCTTCCTACACAGGTAAAAGCACCACGAGTAGCACGGAAATCCTAGGGGGATTTTAGCCGAATCTTCTTATTTTTATCGAATTGTGTGTTTCACCAAGGACATTCCTCAGTTAAAATTTCTAGTGCACGTCATAAACGGACGTACGGTCTCGAACTGTGCTCTCTTTGGTGGCAATACAAGCCGCCGTTTGCGCAAAATCCAGTATCGCATCAACATGCCAATAGGACGAAAGCTGAGAGACTTTAATCGTGCCAGAACTATGGCATGGCTGCAGGATGGAGTTGGAGCCTGAGAAGTTGCCAGAAGGCTTGCAAAGTCACACTCTGCCATTGTCCGCTTGAGGCAGCGCCGTCAAGCCAGTGAATCAGTCCAAGAACGCCCAAGAGCAGGTCGACCCAAGAAGACTACTCAGAGTGTTTGCAAGTGGTTATTAACTTATGTTGAAATCTGCAGTTTATGACCAAAGGACACAAGTGTAGACAGTGGTGAGTCCAGCGACAGCAAGAACAAAAACGACAACAACAGCAATAAAAACATCATCAACAACAACGACACCAAGAACAACAACAACAACGACAACATCAACAACAACAACAATAATAA